CAATAAATGTGTAGAAGTTAAAAGGTCTTTCTCTAAAATGCCCTTATTTATAGGGGAGAGAGAGTGTAAGAGAGAGAATAAGAAAATTATTATAATAAAGAGAATTATAGAAGAGAAGGAATTGAATGTGTGGAGAGATGATGGTTTGAGAAATAAAATACTCCTCCGGTCCTTAATATAGGACCCAATTGGTGAGTTGGTTTTGGTCCTAAATATAAGACTCATTTATCATATTTATTAATTATCTCTAAATTACCCCTATGGATACCTTTTCAACCATAATCAAGTGGAAGAGAAAGATGAGGTATTAAGAAATACGATTATGGTATTTTAGGAAAAACGTGTCATATTTTTTATAATTAACTAACTTACCTAACTTCCTTAATCTAATCAAATTAGTTAAATGGGTCTTATATTAAGGACCAGAGGAGTAATAAATATATTAAGTATTAAAATAAGTAATTAATGAGGACAAACTAGGAAATTCGCTACAAACATTTAAGAGAAATTGTAAATGCTACTTATATTTAAGAACAAGAAGAAAATGGTAGTTGTTACTTATAAAATGAGACGGAGAAAGTACCACAAAAAAAAAATTTTATTTTTGTCTGTTTTGAAAATCAGAGCAAAAAAGCCTTAATACTTGTCTGACTTATTTTAACAGATGAGTATGAGAGCGTATACTCATCTATTTCTTGTATTAGATTTGCATGAGCCACTCATAATCATATGTTTTGTTCCATACATATTTGTCTGTTTCAGAATAGACGATTATGGGTGAATCATATTCCTCTATTCTAAATATACGAGTATGTAAATATTACTTATGTTTTCCTTGTCAACGTTTATCTTTGAATAGACTAAAAAAAGGTCGCTAGTTTCTAGACAAAAAATGGACTTGCTTTTAGTAGTGAAAGAAGTATTCTTAAAAAACCAACACACCCTTTTTTTCTTCTCGCAAATAACTTTCCAACTCTTCTTAATTTTATACAACTTATTTTAGTAACCCTTACATTAGGGAGAGGCAATAGGATACTCTACCCCACATTATTATTAAAAAGGCAGTGTAGTTCACCCAAAAAAAGAAAGGCGGTGTTGTAAGTATAGAGGTGGTTGGAATTTGTTCAGTTTGGCGTCTCAATCCCAAATAAATAGAATGAAAATGATGTCTCATTTGATAAGATTTTTTTTTTAACCGTAACTCATGCAACTATAATATTCTCTGTAAATGATTTGAACTCTCAATCTCATATTTAAGGGGAAAAAATATGTTTAGCGCCATAGTTAACCCACAAAACCATGACTCAAGTTTCAAATTATATGTGACTATTAATAGTTCTATAATTTAATAGGTTCCGAAAATATTCTTTTTTTTTTTCATTCGAAAGTATTCATTGTTTATTATATTGTTGTTGACGTCGTCATTAATATCATCATCAATCATCAATATATAAAGACACTTGACCAGTGTATACGCATATTTAATGGTTGAGTCGCATGGTTCAAGCGATGCAACAATAATGACTTGTTAAGGATTTTGTTATTAAATAAAATATGTTTTCTCAAATATTGATCGCATGGAGCACGAGGAATTGTCAAAATTTATATTCTGGGACTTGCTGTGAATTTTATATGGATATACAATAATTTATAGCAAGTTATATTATTTAAAATTATGAAAAAAAGCATGACTTATTTTATAAATTTGTATAATAAATATCAATATTAACCTCAATAATTTAATATAAGACCCTAATCTATTTTATTTCTCATATTTGTGCTTTTTTTTTAAGGTAATCCTTTTAATGATAATAGTTCTAACCAATATACTTGATTAGTAAGGATATTTTAGGAAAGACAACATCTATTTATCACAAATAACTAACTTAACTTATTTTTTAATCTTCTTAAATTAATCAACTATTTTTTATAACTAAGACCGCAGTTAGTAATGCAAAAGCTATATAGCCGACATGCATGGGGGCTTCCCACACGTGACTTGACGAATGCGCTTTCAAAGGCTTTCAGGGGCTGTTTGGTTTGAGAGGAGGATGGGGAGAGCAGAGGAGGTTTCAATAGGAGTTGGCTTACCAAACCCCGACCCAGCGTCACGCGTTCTCCAAACTCGAGGGCATCCGGTGCCCAACTACCAGCATCTTTTCGAAACGAGAAATATTCAGTGATCTGTTGTTTGATTCAAGAGAGAAGATGAATAGTAATAATCATTTTATCTTCATATGTTAGTTTATTTTTTATTTATATATTATATAAATTAATTTATATCATAGTTTACATTATATAATTTAATGAAAATTTCGTCTTATCATATTAATTAGTGTATCTAAAAATTGGCGCAGTGTTTTTAAATTCCAATTGATATAATAATATGTTTTCAATATTCAAATTAATAAATCTTGTATGCTTCAAAAAAATTAAAACTTTTGTTCTCTTTCTGCTATGCTTTGTCTTACCAGCTTTAAAATATATTTTAAATAATATATTTTTAAAAATTAATTAACTGTATAATGATATAATTTTTGTTGCAATAATTTTTTATTTTAAATTAATTTTTTTATTTTTCTACTTATAATAATATATTTTTATTTGAAATAAATTTCATAACAATATGTCTTAGGACATTAATGGAATATCATAAAAAATACGAGTTAAAATAATCAAGAACTTTAGATCCCCTCCAAAACAACTCCCAATTTAGAATGGAGCTAAAATCGGCTCCCATTCCCTTTAAAATCTTTAATCAAATGTTAAACGGGCTCATTTTTGGTATTTTTTTTTTATCAAAATGCTATACAGTAAAATAAATTACCAAGATGTTATATCGTGAAAAGTACTTTTCTAAATGCTAAACTTAAAACTCGTTCAAATTTTCAAAGAAATTCAGGAGGAAAACAAGTTTCACGTCTGACAATTTTTTTAAAACAAAATCGAAAACTCGTTCAAAACATGAACGAGTTTAGCCTGTCAGAGCACGTACACATACTGCCACCGTCCGCCTCTTCTTTTCCTCTTCCATTTCAGCAAAATTTACAAACAGATACCCATTCCATCAACACCTTCTTCCTTTTTCTTTGGCCTTCGGGGAGAATTGCATTTAATGACCCTGTTCCTTCCTAACCACCTCTTCATTCTGTATTTCCAACAAAATGAAACAATACTATTAATTAGATTTTATATTTCACAAGATATTAAAAAATGAATGAATTTTGCTTTATATCCTAATAATTAAATTTTAAAAAAATATATATATAAACTTTGAATTCTTAACTATTATCAACTGCGCTAACTTGTTTTGGTGGCTCTGGTAATTAGTATGCACTATAAGATAAGTTATTTTAATTTCAAAATATTTTTCAATAAAACTGAATGGAATATTTTATTTTGGATTGTATAAAAATGCTGTTTGTAAATCGTTTGTTACTTTCATTATTAATCATACTAAAGGGTTAAGTAATTATGATGTCATTTTATTGTAATTAATCTTCAGCAGTGTTGTTAATATAATAAGAGGTGGTTGGGAAGGAATGGGGTCATTAATTACAATTCTCTCTTAAGGCTAAAGAAAAAGGAAGAACGTGTTGATGGAATGGGTATTTGTTTGTAAATTTTGCTGAAATGAAAGATGAAAAGAAGAGGCGGACAGTAGCAGTATGTGTAAGTGCTCTGACAGGCTAAACTCGTTCATGTTTTCAACGAGTTTTCGATTTTGTTAAAAAAAAAAAAAATTACCAGACATGAAACTCGTTTTCCTCCTTAAAAACTTCTTTAAAAATTTGAACGAGTTTTAAGTGCAACATTTGGGCAGATACTTTTCATAGTATAGCATCATGGTAATTTATTTTAACGTGTGTAGCATTTTGATAAAAATCCCCTCATTTTCCATTCTCTCCCCTACTCTCCTCTTTAACCAAACAAGCCCTTAGATTTTGGGGTGTTTGGAAAATATTAAAATAGGAATATGTTTTTTTTTTTCAAAATCAAAATAACTTGTATATTTTTCTTATTTTTTAAATTGTTTTTTCTCTATGAAATCGGGCAGCTCAAAGCATTATTGTCTTTAGAATTCGCCTCTCGAAGTCAAACTCACCGCAATTTGTTGTCCAATTTTAATCTTTTCAAATATGATTAATCATTATTCAAACATTTTTTCTCTCAAAACATGTCTTGAAAAACACTTTATAAAATTATTATAACTATAAAAACTAAAAACAGAATCAAACAAGGCCTTAGTTTTTTAATATTGGAACTTAGTCTTACGTTTTACCTTGGTGCAACTTAATTTTTATAATTTTAATTTGATTATAACATAATTCTTAAACTTTGAGATTTGCTGCAACTCAATTTTTAATTTAAAAAAAAAAACAAATTTCTAAGTTGGAAAAATTCTCCAACCATTCACATCTCTGCCTATAATGATATACTTAACCACGTGCAACAACACACACCAATTATATGCGTCCACTTCATCATTTGCTCCATCATTTTTCTCTCTATATAGCTCGCCACTTTCAGATAGAAGTAATAACTCTGGTTTGCATGTGGTTTTGAAGTTCTTCTCCGACCACCTCCTTTGCTTCCTTCTCGCCTCTCAGCTCTCTCTCACTCTGTTTTTATGGTGCAGATAATGGTAGACCGAGGGGAAGATAAATTTTCATTCACGTGGTCCCACTCACATCAAAACTTACCCTCCAGGCTTGATTACATCTCTAAGATATTGGATTACTTCGAAAATAGTTTTGGTGCTCATCAAAGTAACGAGTAGCTTACTGATTATTATGATGAAATCTACGGCTTTAATAGTCTAGATTTAAAATTTCTATCTAATAATTTTTTAGGTAAAAATTATTTTTTAAAAAACTTACAGTTAAAAAATTATATTTATTTTAGATTATTTATCTATTCAAGCAAAATATTTTTAAAAAAAAACAAAAATATAAAAATTAGATTTCAGCTGTTTATATTAAATTTAAAAAGTTGATATTTTTTTTTTGGATTACTCCATCCGGTATCCCAGGGAAATAGGCGTCTTTCAGCCGTGACAACGTCCCCAGACTAATCCGGATTCGGGGGCTTGCAAGGATCCATACGGACGGCGCCCCCTGGCCCCTTGGAGTGCTGCGTTCCCACGTCTCGAACTCGAGATCCGTGGTTAAGCTAGGACGACCCCAGCCAGTCGACCTAACCCCGCGGGGTTAAAAAGTTGATATTTGATGAGTATAATGATATTTATCACTGAGCACCAAAACTGGTTTTGGGTCACCAATGGGATGAGCTGAACTTCATTTTTCTGATTATGAGTAGCACGGCGATGGGCTTTAAACGCTTAACTAAGATGTGGTCCAATCCTTCTTTTTTTTTTTTTAACTTCAGGTAATGAATTTACCACTACCTCCGGTAAAAATGAGATCTTATAATTAAAACTAGAAATAATATTTAGCCCCTATCTTTGGGCACCAAAATTATCAAATAAATTGCAGAAATTATTTTGAGACACCTTTTTTTTGAAAGGTGAATATATATTAATCAACCAAAAAACTTTGCAAAAGGAACAGGAACTACCAAAAAACATCACCTATTCTCTAGTAAGTCCTAAATATTCCTAGCTCTAAGAGTGTGTTTAGTGAGTACATTAACAGAATGAGCTAAAGGGTCTGAGTGGGCGGAGCAATCCTAAAAGATTCGTTTGTTCCGATTGTCCCATAATTTCCAGCAGAGCAGGCCGAATTTTGAGGCACTTTATAAGGATAGTTTTCTCAACCTCACCCTTCTTCTTCCCTGTGAAGCAAACGGGCCTTAATCTTGACAGTCTTTATCCATAACTCGGCCCAATTCAAGCCGGCGAGACTCTCCCTTCGTATTCGTGCTTGATTTTTGAAGATCGAGGACACGCACAGGCAACAATGCTGCGGACTCGATTGCTTTGGTTCAGTCTAGGGTTTACATTCTCAGCTGCCACGATTTCCCACTTTGTTTGGAAGGATCTTTGGGTTGATCGCCACGCTCTTGCTGCTGATGTATGTCAATCGAATTGCATTTCGGCCTAGTCAATTTAGAATTCATTTCGACCCTGTCATTTCCAAATTGTCATACTTTTGTTAATTCTGGATCGCCATGGTCTATGAATTTTTTATAGATGAAGCAGAAGTTTGATGCTCTGGAAGCTAGAGTGTCCAACCTTGAATCTTTACCTCATCAAAATTCGACATCGGAAAAGGTATTTGCTTTCGTTCACATTTTGCTTTAAAGTGCGTCTAATTCGGAAAATCAACCTTTTAGAAAAATGTGCAAGTGTTTCCCTATTTCTCTTGGAGGCTGATGTTATGAATGCTCCAAAGGCTCTGAAAAATTGGAAATACTAAAGACTTTGTTTTGTTTTTGTTTTCGGATGGGGGGTTGTTAGGGTGAAGACTGTGGACTTTGCTAGTTTGAACTTTGAACTTTGAAGGCCTGGGTTAATTAATTATTGCCCCCGAGGTTCTATAACATGCTACGCATGATCATTTATCCCTTTGATGATTCGAATAGATTTAGTGTAAGGAACGGAAACTAGTATGATTGTAAAATGAGTCATTGCTAATTTAAACTGCCTATTAATTTGAATATCATGAATCATTCCTATCAATGTTGAATAACCATTGAGCGATTGCCATATTCCTTATCATTATTAATTGACTCTAAGGTAGATGCCGTTGCCTTATTTATTGGTGTGCAACCTTTCAGTTCCTTAGTGCTCTAGGCATGGTCCAATGAATTATATCCTTAATTTGTCCAATGAAAGTCACAGTAAATGCATATTCTTTGAGAAATTTATTATAAAACATTTAGGAAGTATTAGCTGCTCATACGGTCATACCTTGAATAATTATGAATTCTGAAGTTAGATGCAACTAGAATGGGTGCAGACTAAGAATATGGTCTAGATTCTCATGATGTGTAGTAAGATATGTACGTGTAGCTAGAATGGTTTAGATCTTCCAACGAAGATGCAACTTTCCTGAACTCTTAAGCTATATATTTTTCTTCCAAATTGTCTGCGAGTTATTTGGTATTTCTATTGACTAGACGCATCTAAAGGAGAGATATGTGCTAGCATATCCCTTGGCCCCAGCAAGCTAATATTAGCTGAAGCTCAAAACGTGCTGTTCAAATATAATTAACTTTTAAGTGATTTCAACTCGTCGTTGACCTATAAACTCTAATCAAAGATAACTCTAGCATCTTTTTAGTTTGGTCTTGATAGCTCTGATTTGCTTAGAAGTGTTGTAATGATAATTTATTATTTATTTGGCAGGTTGAAGGCTAGACATCATTTGGGAATCAGGGAAATGATTTATCAGTTTTCGTTGATCTGGTCTACTGGAAACTGATTTTGTTGGAAATGACAATAAATTTGTACTGCCACACATGATTCCCAACAGTTTAACTACAGTAATTGTTTCTTGTTCACAGGCCTTGCCCTTAAAATCAATTGAAAGCAGTAGTACGTTGTAGGAACTTGATATAAGTTTTGATTTGGCAATGAATTTCTAAATATTACTACCTCTGATTCTAATTATAAGACTTCATAAACTTAACACCGGAGATAGTAATATGCAGCCCAAAAAGCCAACAAAAAGATGAAAAAGGAGCTGGACTGACGAGAAGAGCAAGTGTTATCAGTAAACCGAACTTTTTCAAGTCTGGTTTCCTTAATCACTCGGTGCTTCAAATATTCAGGATATCAAGGCTGTCAAGCGATGGGCTTGTTATATTGCTTGCCGCTTAATTCATTTATTGGGTATTTTGTACTATTTTCGATTCTAAATATAAAAACTAATTGATAGTTAGATTTAGTCCTAAATATAAAATTTTAATTTACGTTATCTTTTATCTTCTCCCAAAATATTCTTATTGACTGACTGTGAAGGGTTCTTACCAAAGGATACATGATTGAAGAAGATAGTCTAGAAAAATAAACACATATTTATGACAAATAATTAGTTAACTAATTTTGTTAATATCTTTAAATTAGTTATCTAGTTTTGATATTAAGAACTGGAGGTGGGATTACAGATAATTCAACCGATAAATATTGAACCTAAAACAGAGGCATGGGATGATAAGCAGCTAATTGTTCAACGTTAAACGGTTTCTTATTGATGTGGCACTTTATGGCTAGGCATTTTACAAAAACAGCAATCTGGCAATTTCTTGATGGTTTGCGCAAACGTGCCACCGCCTTATCCGGCGCACACAATTCTTACTTCTCGTTACAGGGTATGTGGAAGACATATGAATAAGTGCTACAAAGAATTAAACATAGAACAGCAGTGAATTCACTTATTCCAACAACGTTCAGAATCCAAGTTATTTTATATGAGCAAGTAATTTTGCGTTGTCTGCCTTGTAAGAGTGTGGTTGGATATCAGTTTGAAGGGGTAAACTCTTGCAAAATCAGTTTTCATTGAATGATCATTTGGCTTTTTTCTTTCATTTTCAAATAATTTTATTAAAGGAAGACATGACACAAAGCAAGATGTCATGACATCAGATGTTTTAATATAATATAAAAGTTAGATGTTTTAACAAAGTAGTTTGAACTTTAGTGCAGCATGTCACTTCTTCACCACCTGTAACAAATAGGTTCGTGTTCATACGAGAGATTGGAAACTATATTTTCTTCTGTATCTAAAAGAATGAACGTATAAATATGCACAGAAGATAAAATAAATTTTTTCTTGTTACGTAAGTAAAGAGAAAAGATAGTTAACCTAAAAAAAGAAACAACCTCATGACTCCTATCCCATTTTGAAGGACTAGATTTTCAAAGACGTTTTCATTGATCAATAGAATGCTCTATCATGAAGGCATTTACAACTCCACAAGGGTCAAAATAGGACTATATCATAGTCATTCGAACCAAGAGACTCGAGAAAGTTGAATTATATGCTACATGAATCATCACTTGAACTACAGAAAGAAGACTCATAAGAGATTAATCTCTCCACACAGGAATAATCCCTTGTGCAGCCAAACGTTTCTCAACCCAGAAGATGACGTGTTTTGCCGTAATTTTCTTTTCATCAATGAGGAATGGCTCAACAGTGCTTGCTTGTGAATTATAAGATGATAGAGAGAACCCTTTTGGACCTGTTCAACGACACAAATCAAATGGTTCTGATAACGTTTGACAAGGATTAATTACTTTGATAAACCAATAGCAGTGGAAAATACACACACCAGTAAGCACTCCATTGGGAAAGAAAGCCCAAAATGAATAGGGATTTCCTTGTTTCAAAAAGGATCCTTCTAACTGTTAATTAAGATCAATCGAATGAGTCAGCAAGGAAGGGGAAAAAATCAATCCAATGTAACAAGGTAAGTTAATCCAATCCTTAAAGGAAAGTTTCTTATTTAGAAAAAGAGGATATTATTGCATGAAAATGTCATTTGATCATTAAATATAAGCGTCCTCCAAAATTTTTTTCCTACAAATAATAGAGCAATAGCTCTTGACTCTAACATGCCTGCTCCACTGTGTTGGTGACTCCTCAACTCAGCCCAAGTTTTAAGGGATAGAAAAGAATTAATGGGAAGATACAAAAAGCATATTACCAACCTTATTGTCCTGAAAGGCCAGCTCAATGTCAGAGATGTCCTGCTGGGCTTCAAGTATTGCTTTCAATGAAGGTATCACATCCTCCTCCATCATCTGAGGCAGGGGCTTGACTGGTGCTTTAGCAGGAGGTTTCTTTGCAGGTGCTGCTTTTGGAGCTGCATTTACCTCCTCCTTTGTTTCAGCAGTTTCTGTGGCCAGAAAGTGAAATCAATATCAACAATATATGTAAGAAGAATTGGAGGATTGCTATTATTCTAAACTCATGACTAGTATTAACTTATCTCTCGCTTTGTATTTAATTTTGTGTATCTAATTGTTTATACTACTATTTAATAAGGCCCTGTGAAGTTAAAACCATCCCTTTATTTGTATGAACATTTCCCTTGTGTATAACTTTGATTAGATTAATTAGCTTGTGGAAAAAAGTTATTGGTGGAGCATTATATTATAAATGCAGAAACTCACCTGCTGTACTAGCGGAAGATTCTTGGACGGCAGAGCAAGTGATCTTGTATCTGCTTGAAGTTGCTACCTTACTTGTAGTCTACAGCTCAGGCAAAGCGGACATTGAAAGTAAATTTTCTCATAAATTCACAATATCCCAGAGAAACATGATTATTAGGATTGAAATGAAAGAATTGTATTATGATACTTTCATCATATCAAAAGATTTCAGCTATCTAGAGCACAACCTCTTGAAAAGATGCGTTGCCACGATTCACTTCTTATTTTTACATAGAGATGTTTATATTTGCTTGATCAATAATAATTTCTACGCAAAACTGTAGTACATACTTTAACTTTTCGAAAGATTCAACTTTTCATAATGATTGAACAGCTAATTTGGAAAAATTCGGCTAATAAACTACCAAATCATGTTTTAACAGCAGAGTTAAGTTTATATATTAAAGACAAGACCTATAAAGCTGAAACTACAAAACACGAAGGGACATCAAATTATAATAATCTCTGCGCCTGAAATCACAGAAGACATACAAAAGCATAGAGGTCATGAATTGTCTTGACAAATTAAACTTCTAAATTCACTTTATCCAGAAAACCCAGAAAAGAATAACTACTCAATAAGCTGAAAGAGGTCAAATCACAGTTGAAACTTCTCACCAGAGGAAGTATCAATGATGACGACGAACTGGGTATGAAATTCTGGGTAAAATGCGAAGAAGAAGAAGAACTAGTGGTTGATGACCAAGAAAACCTAAAGGTAGAAGAATCAGCGGCGACTCCTCTTAGGGAAATTGCCATTTGCATTTTTTCTCTCGAACTAATAGTATCTTTCCTTTTGTTATTCTTCTACGTAATCACCAACCATCGTCTTTGCCGTCTGGTTTATTGATGTTCAATCACAAAAAACATATTGAAAGAACCTTCTGATCCACATAGTGTTTGAAACAATTTGTACCACTGGTTTTTGTGCCCTTAGTTCCATTTATTAGAGGAAAATTTGAAGATGAGCTTACACACTAGAGGACAAGAATCTCCTGGTGGTAGAAGCCGGAGAGAGAAGTGGCGTCTGCTTGTGGGTGATTAGCTTCAACCACATGATACTACAAAGCCAAGCCAGGCCCAAATTCTTCGCCTCGTCTTCTTCTGAGAATTACTCTTGCTAGAAAGTGCATTGCTTCATGGCTTAAGAAATATCTGAATTTATAGGTTGAGTTAGAATTTTCATCGCTCCCAAATTTTTTATATATTGTAGTTTTATCGTTTTTTCTGAATGCTAAAATAATCATAGATTTTTGTATTGTATCATATGTAATTAATTTGCATGTAAGATTCACATTAAGAGTCAAAAATTAAATTTTTTTAATTTTAAAATAAACAAAAAAATCAGGAAAAAGCTATGGAACTTCTTTCCCCCTGATCATTATGTTGCTGCAATATTATTTCTTTTTTTTTCTTCTAATTTTTAAAATCATTCATTATCAAATACGTCGAAAAAGTTTGTTTAATTATTAATCAAAGATTCAAACCATAAGAATTACGGGTGCATTAAAGATTGAAAATGAAGGTACTTGCATAGCATTTCTTCTGGGTAAATGAAAGGAACTCTACATAAAATGCTAACTATGATTCAAAAAGAACATGCGCACATTAAATTATGACTTATCTTCTCTTCACACACATCACTTCTCTCTCTCTCTGTCCTGCTTCTCACAAAATATAATATATGCAATTACAGGAGGCTCTGAAGAATCCAGAGACCGCTAACCAATCTGGTTCTTGTCGTTGACACAAGAAAATGGTAAAGAAGAGCACTTTCCACAATTAAGTGGAAAAAATTATTGCAGCTTTTCTTTAGAAAAACTGAGATCAATAAGCACAGCACTCCTGCAGAGTACTACGTTAGTTTCTGAGTGGTTCTACTTCTCTTCTTTGGTGGGACTTGCTTAGAGGGAAAATTTTTCTGTTTAAATTTCTGGACCATGCTGTAAACCTGCATTAAACATACTTCACAAGTGTTAAAGAGGGGGAAAACAATATTTTATTCTGTTATAATCCATGAAATACACCAAATAATAATGCCGATCATTGAGGATGGACAAGTTTTTAGAAAACACAGCAGAGGAAACAAATGGAAAGTATTCAAATTTTAAATAGGTCTTGTTGCTTCTTCCTTCCCTTATCTGTTTCAATAACTTCCAGGTTTTATTTACATGGTCTCCTTCCATCAATCTACATCAGCGTTCTTTATTCTTAACAGCAACCATATTGGTCGGTGACAATCACTTAGATGAGGTTTAAGCCCAATAATTAACATACTGAAAAGTGCATTGTGTTTAAGGTCTATTTGTCTTTTCCAAAGGAAGAAAATTCTGCACTCTTGCACAGAGTAGCTTTGAAAATTCATAGCAGCTTTACCAATATAACTACATACTACATACCATCTTACCTTTCTTACACTGGTTGTCAGTCCCGTACTTGAAAGGGCATTGCTATCTACCCATTTACAAGTTATAGTTTCATTCCCCTGGCTTTTGAAGAAATCACCTTTCCGCCCTTACAAAAGAAGAATCAAAATTAGAACATAAGAGTAGCATAGAGTAGCCATGATGCCATCATTTTTTTGTTGAAGATGCACATATGTAACTCTGCTTGCAAAACCATTTTAGACTCTTCTAAACTATGGAACATAAGATACTTGATGAATTTAAACATACATTTGCTGAAATAATGGCCAGTCAAAAGATGAAGACGGCTGCCAAATAA